GATTTGTCTTCATTTAAAGCAAGAAAATTTATGTTATTACATGTGGCTGAAAAATTAGTTGCATTGCTTTTTATATTTTTTGATTATTTAGATTGTTTCAATGATATACAAAATTTATTAAAAATGTAATTTTAAATATTTTTCATTTCAGAACTGTACTTTTTTATGTGCATCATTTTATGAATACTTAAAAGTTATGATTAAATACTATTATTGTAAGAATTGTGGTGCTATGATGTGAAATAGTTGTCTTTAAAGAAATATTTTTTTTTTTTTTTTATCGAACGGCGAGCACTTTCCTTTCTAGCACTGGCCACTCCTAAGGCCAGAAGCGGTGGCCATTTTTGTGTGGAGGCTTCTAATAGGTGGCTATTTTGTTGTGGAGGCACCTAATAGGCGGCTACGTTACCTCCTATGAGGGGACAGGCAATTTACATCCGCACCTTCTGTGGGATTCGAGCTCGGGCTCTTCGGTATTGCAGTCGGCGACCCTAACTACAATACCGTCTGGGCGGCAAGAAGAAATTAAATTGTGCCCATACAAAATAGTTAAAATAGTTAACTTCTGTTGTGCGTGTGTCTGTGTAAATATATTTCTACTTCTCTATTTTTTTAATTTTTATTTATTTATTTTTTGTCATCAAATGACTGGACACCTTGCAATGTATAAAGGGGCGCGCATTCATCTCTTTGCCTCAGGTGAAAAATTGCTTCGACATGGTTATCGTTATATTGTTGTCGTTAATGTCTAAATTGATTTATCGTTATTGTTAATACTATATCGTTAATGTCTAAATTGTTCGCAGCGGACCACGAAATTGATTCGCACAGTCCCATGACAAGTTATGACATTTGAATCCCATGACATTTGAATGATGCCTGGAACTAGTAGTTCGATCCACTACCATAAATGTAGAAATCCTGAAGTTTCACTATACACCAAGTTCATAACGTGTATCCACAAAAAACGTTCTCTAGATGGAAGTTGCTCTTCTAGACGGGTGGATACTTTTCGATTTCTGCTTTCACAAAATTATTGAAGATAAGTAATTGAAACAAAATAAATAAATGAAGAGTAAAAACCACTACAACTTCCCATGATTTACGGAAAATATCGAGAACTTGATTTCTAACAGCATAAACGCATTCAGTTTTCATGTTGTAATTTAGTTACGTGTATTTTCTTTGATAAATTTAATGGAATAATTTATTTCATTTACTAGGGAGATGGTATTTTCAATAAAATTGATATTATTGATCAACAGTGATTACCATTATTACTACTAGTGAGTTAAATTATAGTATGTCTCAGTTATAAGGGAAATCCAGATAAAAAGCCTTCAAGAAACATATTGTTATCATAGAATTATCATACAAAAACAAAAGATTTAACTCGGGAAAGGATATCTGTCTTTATTTGAAGGATATCTATCTTTAATAGAAGAATTCTATTTGGCAGTTATCTAAAAAAAGGTTCTGAAGATAATTCTTTTTTTATGAATGTAAGAAGATATTTGAGCTGATATATAACAATTTTCACAAAAGGAAATAAATATTTTGTAAATTTCAGTAGCAGTTTTAGTGAATATTTAAACACTACCGGGTTACCGTAAAAGGGGGAATATCTAAGAGTTTATCTCAAGTTTGGCATTTTTGTAAACTAGCTGAGAACCAGAAATTATCAAAGTCTTTCTTTGATGTCCAAGTGTATTTTAGTTATAAAAAAGTGGGTTGTAATATGTTAAGTTTCGCTTAAGATTGCCAGTGAACATTTAATAACATATTTCGTACTACATAAAAAGTACTTAAAAATGAAAATCGGCGCTGCTTTTAAACATACAAAGAATGACGAATAGATCGAAAGGTCCGATTAAGCTATGATAAATGTCTTGTAAATACTCTTTGATTTATTTATTTTTAGTCCAAGGGTAGTTTGCCCAGAAGGACTATTAATTTCGTTTTGGCATTTTGCATTGATTCACTTTTCAAATTGTTGCCACCAAATATTATCGCCCTGTTTATATTTAAAGTTAATAATGAAGTTAAATAATGAAGAATCTGCATGAATGTATGTATGTTTCTCGCATTGTGATAAAACAACGGTACCTAGAGCCATCAAATTTTGAATAACGTAATCTTTCACCGAGTATGGGCATCTGGGTAGCCCTGTTTTGTAATTTGGTTTATTATCGATTTCATGTTTTGTAAAACTTTAACGAATTTTTGATTAACAAATTCAAGGATTTCAAAGCGAGCAATGGCAACGTTGTACAGAAAAAAAAAAAAAACATTTTTATCTCCAGCGCGCGTTACTGTGTATCCGAAATTCTCAAAAATACATAAAATTATTTTGCGATATTGCTGTTGAACTGAATTTTATGGTTTAAGTGCGAAGAACGTGATATTTAATAAATAAAGGTAACACTCAAAACGTTAAAAAAAACGCCACTTTAGACGTAATTTAAAATCTGAAACCTTTCAGAATTTTTTTATTATTTTAATTTTTTAGCCCAAAAGGGGCTGTTAGTCTTGAAATAAAAATTTTGCGTTGGTTAATTATAAACGGCGTATCATTTTTTAAATTGTTGACACCAAATATTATTGCCCTATATTATTTTCAAAGAAATTAATGAAGAATCTGCATGTATGTATACATGTTCCTGGCGTTTGGGGGTGGCTGGGTTACTGGCTGCCCTCGTTTGTGGAGATACGGGGCCCCTTCTTTTGAGCTATGGGAACACTTGTGTCCAGGTGGGCTGAAGGGAGCCTCCAATTCTTACAATTCTTACATGTTCCTGGCAACGTGAAAAGATGACGGTACCTAAAGCCATCAAATTTTGAATAACGCAGTCCTCTACCCGAATGTGCTTCTGGAAGCTTGAACTTCAAATTTGTTTTATTATTATTTATTTCTTATTTTTTAAAACTTTAGTGAATTTTTGATTAACAAACCAACGATTTGAAAGCGAGCCGTGGCAATACTGTTCGAAAAAAAGCATTTCTATCTCCAGCGCGCGAGCCTGTTGCCATTCAGAAAAATATAAGATATTTAGCTTTCGATTTTAATTAACTAACTGGACTGTATGAAAGCAATGTGTAGCCGCGTCCAGAAATAAATACTTTTATCTTTCACGCGCCAGCGTGTTCCCATTCAGTAAAACCTAAGCTACTTTCAAATTTAATATGGAAGGTTTTTGAGTAATAAAATAAGCAATTTGAAAGCAATAAACACAGTTCATAAGAATATTTTTTTTCTACTTTTCAATGTGATTGATTTAAATAAACATGTATTAAAATGATGAGATATCTAATTACAAATTATAATATAATATTATAAATTATTATAAATAATTATAATATTCAATATTTTTGTGAAATTACACTAGCTAGATTTATTAAAATCATTATATACTTTTCCTCTTTTATGATAACTATTTTAGGCGGCTAATCGCTCGAGCGGCTACTTTTAAGGAAATAATATAGTAAATATAAAATCATGTATGGCAACCTCTGACACTTTATCGGGAATTCTATGATATGCTGTTTTTAAATGTTTTGTGATTTTGCTGTAGAATTGAATTTTATGTGATGTAAGTACGAAGATATTTAAAAAGTAAATTTAACGCATAAAAAGTTAATAATAAAAAGATAAAAGTTTTTGTTAGCCGTCTTATTAAAAAAAGTGAATATTAATATTATGAGAAAAGACTGAAAAAAAAATTTCTGAAAGCTTTTAGATTTTACATTACACCCAAAGGGGCGTTTTTTTAACGTTTTGTCGGTTATCTTTATTTATTAAATATCATGTTCTTCGCACTTAAACCATAAAATTTAGTTCAACAGCAATATCGCAAAATAGTTTTAAAGTGAGCATATCTTTAGAATTTCTGATACACAGTCTCGCGCGCTGGAGATACGATTTTTTTTTTCCGTACGGTATTGTCATTCCTCGCTTTGAAATCGTTGAGTTTGTTAATCAAAAATTCCTTAAAGTTTTACAAAATATGAAACAGATAATAAAACAAATTCCAAATTTGGGCTTCCAGATGCCCATATTCGGATAGAAACGTACGTTATTCAAAATTTGATGGCTCTAAGTACCGTCGTTTTATCACAATGCGAGAAATATACATACATTTATTCACATTGTACATTATTTAATTTCTTTAAATATAATACAGGGCTGTAATATTTTGTGGTATTTGGGTGTCCCTGGGATCCAAAGACTCTTAAACCACAAACAGACATGCTTAGATAAAGCACAAATGCATATTATGAAATATGCACATTACTAAGCTTTTCATAATCAAACAATCCAAATCCGTAGTTTTCGAGAAAAACGTGAATGGAAATTTATAATGTTGCGTCCACATGGAAGGAAAATAATTTGGAAAATAAATTTCATTTTCCATATTATAACCATCACAGCTATGTATTAAAATGTAATAAACTGTTGATTTAGCAATAATTGTTTGTTTGCCAGAGTGCCAGATTGTATTATATAAGCGATTTACGATGTGTATATGTAAATTATGAACGTTGGCTAAAAGTCAACTCGATTCTGCCGGCTAACAGCAGAACTTTGCTTGAAGAAACGTATTCCGTTAGTAAATAATTGAAGTACCGAGAATTAGTGTTTTCTGAAATGTATTATTATCAAGAAATTAACTGTTTATTTTATTTTAATCAGTTTAAATATTTATTATGTTCAAAAGAAAGTTTTTTTAATCTTGCATCGGATGTAATTTCATTATTTTCATGCATGTTTTTTCCGAAGTATGACTTGTAGTGGGAGAGTCCTTTGACTATTATTATCCACGCAAAGAGAGAAATGCTATATTTATGCATTGTTATGAGACACCGTGTATTTCTGTCTTTAAATTTGTTTATAATACTTTTTCTTAGATCAGTATTTCTCAAAGTTAAATGTTTTCGTTCTTGATCAGTTGATTTTAAAATTCATACAGATTTCTAATTTTTTTTTTTTTTTTTTTATTTAGGTGAAGTGCCTAGTTTACAAATTTGTACTTCAAGAGGATGTCATTGAACGTATAACACAAGTATTTGAAGAAGAACTAGAACTGGGCTTAAAAAAGAAACCCGAAAGGAAATCATCGTTACAGATGGCGAACACATTCATTCCTAAACATTTAAGTGGAAAGGGTTAGTTATGATTTTTTTTTTAATTTTAAGATCATGTTTTATTTTTCATCCATATATTTGAATCTCTTCTGACTGCTGCACTCATACCTACATAGTACTTTTATATTAGAAATGTTGTGCAGAAAATTTCCTGCAGTTGATATATTGTGCCATATACTGTTTATTAGTCGTAAAGTCGTAAAGAAAACAAAATCCAATAACTTATTTGCATATCTGAAACTTATTTTGATATTTCTGAAATCAACATTTTTATTTTAGCTATTATATACGTAATGTGTTAAGAATATGTTGTTGTTTCAAATGGGTACACTCTTGAGGCTTAATGCATTCATCGGGAATGGCCCATAACTTATTTGTCATTTAACTCTCGTCACCGAGAACATGAAAGGTGCATCACAGAGGGAGAGGGCGACTGATTGTATAAATTGACTGATTGTATTATATCCGCAAGGACGGGGATGTTCCATCACAATTTCGATGGCGAACATCCCAGGAGACGGATCCGAGTGCCTTCCAACCCTATCTAGCTATTGCTAAATCTTCCTAGAAGACTTTCGAATCACCAAGTTCAGCAAGTGCTCCATGCCGCACAGACAATATATACTTAAAAATATCCAAGCCATCTCCAAGATTCAAACTTAGATTACGATCTCCGGGATTCAAACTTCAATACGGCCGCCGGCAGCTCTAATCACAATATCGATCAGGCCAGCTGTATCAAGAATATAATAACAATTCTCTCTTCTCGAACGCCTATTAGTGCCTGAGCGGATAAGTTCACTGAACTCGAGGTGTTCTTCCCAGGTTCTCTTCTCTGTTATGTAGCGGATGGTTGTATGCTGTTTTCTTAGTTTTCCTCCACAAATAAAGTAATAAAGAGGAACCACAATTCCTAAGAAACTGCTCCAAGAATTTATGCTACCTCGAGCAAATAGCGTTCTTGTAAAGGATATTATGCCATAATAAATAATCTAAAATATTTTTGTAAAATTGAAATATTAGGCTTATATATGTACAGCATTGCACTAATATACAGCATGCGTACTAAATGAAGCATTTTACTGATCTTGTGCAAATTCACTCTTCGAACTATACAAATAATTTTTTTTACACTCGTGGAGTTTAAAAATATCAAAAATCATTTGGAACAATAAATATACTTATTTGTGAGACGAAGTTTATTGTCTCACAAATAAGTACATCCCTTGGGCTTTGTTTAGTTCAAATATTTATTTTGTTTCTCTAATGTACTAATAGCAGTAAAATAGTTAGAAATTCTAGAACATCCTTTTTCTCAAATTATTATCCACGTGGCACGGTAGTAGTATTAAACCTTCCACAGAAAAAGCAGTTTCTCACACTTTTGAAAGTGCCTGGTCACAGAAGTTATCAAAAATTTATCTTCTCATTTTTTCCATCTATTCTATACATCTGATTGGCGTATAGGAAACTTTTCCTATATTCCATAAATTGCTGTCAATTCTATCAAAAGTAAAATAAAAAATATTACAGTAGATGTAATGGAATACACTATCCAAAATTGAAAATGCAACACTAAGAAGGAGCGGCTCGAAAATTATGCAAATTTCAGGGTAGACGCACGTCATCGTGTTATGCGAATGATGTGAAATGCGCAGCTTAAGAAGATATAAGGGAATTACGAATGATGTGAAATGCGCAGCTTAAGAAGATATAAGGAACCTGCAGAATGTTCAATTTTCATGCCATTATTTCTGCAAGGGAAACCATCGTATAAAATTTGTTCTTATCTCAGAGGAAGCACGTAATAGCAGAGAATGCAAGGCCGTCATTAACGGAGGCAGATCCAGTAGACAGACGATTTTACGAGAAGCATGGTTATCGGACTGAGAAGAGCAGGCTAGTCCATACGGCAAATCTCAGCTGACACACACCTGGACGCGACCACAGTGCACCGGCGGTGGCGACGATGGTTGCAACAAGGAAATGTGGCAAGTTCGTGGGATGCCGGTGCAATCAGAGTCACGTCAGCATGCGTGGATCGACTCATCCGCCGACAAGTGGTGGCATACCTGCAAGCCATATCTACCTCAATTTTGCATCATGATCAAGTCAGCCTGGATGTTCCAATATCGACCATAACTATTTGCCGTCGATTGGTGTCTAGTAATCTGCACTCGTGGCATCCGTTAAGAAGACTGCCATTGACCCCACATCATAGAAGCCCAGGGCTAAAGGGCTAGTTCATCAGCTTCTCGCGGCTGAAACCGAAAGAAGAGACTTATGGCGTAGTTGGGTTCGCTTGGTCAGTTCTGCTGTTCAGTTTCTTAAGCATTTGCTTGAGAATCAAAACGCTTTGAAAAATAGTTTAATAACCAATATGAGCCGAGATTTTAGCTCATGAAATTGCAATATACATGCATTTATATATGAACTAGAAATGTATTTACGTCATACCAAATTAAACTCTAATATGCGTAAAACGTAAGTAAAACATGCATAAACATAACTATTTTTTAATTAACACATATGCGTAAACATAACTAATTTTTTAGGTCGAGTGTACCCTAAATGTAGTAATTCTTTTTCATAATCATCTTTTTAAATATATGTAAATAGTAAAACCCACCGATAACATACGTAAATTTCTACATTTACGAAGAATTCTTTTTGCGTTAAAATATAAGTTAGTCGCAAAGTAATTTGCATTATAGAAATATTAAATAAAAATAGGCAAATATATTTTGAGAATACATGCTAAAGTCATCAATCTAATTAAAAATTAGTTAATGCTAATAATAGACACATTAAAACGAAACAAATTTCACTTCTTCCATTTTTGCTTTTCAATTAGCGTTGATAATGAGTAGTAGAATTTTGTAAGCTTTTGCAATGTCTATTATGAAAGCATTATTATTTAATGTCAATTACTCAAAAAATAATGAAAATATTTTAAAATAGTATTTATATATTTTGGAATAATAGCATGTATTCTTGCATTTTAAAAGTATATTCTCTGATACTAATTTATGTTTATGCCGAATTTCATAGTTTATTTTATATAGTAAAATTTAGCAGTCTAAATTAGTATATAATAAATATATAATATTTTATATAGTAGTCCAAATAATTAACTGAAACGTGCATAAATTAGGTCACAAATTAAGTGAATAATAAACAAAGTAATGATTCAAATTATTATTTTTGGTAGGAATAATATGAATCAACTTACATGATTTTTTTCCTATATAGTTTGGTTCGATAATCCTCTATTACTCTTCATCCATTTATTTGCTTTCTGGTCAGCTTTTCTTGCCGATACAAGGGTTGCATTCCTATTCAAGTGCCGAACCCTTATAAATGTTCGTAAACGGCAAAATAAACGAATTGCACACTCTTATTCACGGAGGGAAAACGTTTCTCAAGTTCAGAAATGAGATTCTGAATTACACCTCTACCTTTTCGAAAAGAACTGCCATGAAAAGAACGGAAAACATTTTCCATTTTCATCATCGTTTCCATCCAAACTGGTGATGGTACAGTTAATCCTCCTTTAGATAATAAAAATATCCAATTTGAGTCGTTAGGAATATCTACGAATTTTTTTGATATTTCACCCAAAGTAGGATCTTTATCTTTCACACGATATGCAATATAACCTGCCACATAAGCGAGCGATTCTTGTTCATATGCAGATATATCTTTCGTTGAATCATAAATTTCGGTTTCCCAAGGAAGTGACGTACATTCATCATAGATGTCTTCGTAATTAATTAAATCATCTTCGTATAAGGAAGACTCAAACATTTGTGCTTTTTCATTTGAAGAAAAAGCTGTTTCTAACAGCTCTTTTGTCAAATATGCTTCAACTTTCTTCACATCTTCACAGTCATTAGCATTTGTCTTTAACGACAATTTAGGCAATTTGTTTGCCAATAGCAACCTTTTCAGGCGAATTATTACGTCTGATGGAGACGGATGGTCATTAAAACGCCCTAGACCCCCGAATCTGGCTGAACAAGCTTTCTAATACATCTTGAGTCAGTCTTGATGTTAAAATATATATTTCACATTTATAGATTTTACGTCGTCAAATAAACCGAAAAGCGAATTTATCGATATGATAATACCTTTCTGAAAAGGTAGCATTGTCTTCTTTCCGCATACTCTGAGATCAAAAATCATTTGCTTAATCTCATTTAATTTCTTTTTTTGTACTTCATAATAGCTTTCTAGGCCGAAAGCAGCTTTTAAAGGCTTATTGCTAGGGGGTAATGGTACACTACTATTCATAATGTCAAAAAATCATCAACCATTGAAAAAAAATTACTTGTTGCAGCATTACCAGTCAAATGCATAATTGCTTTAGCCGTTGTGGAGGAAAATAATGCTTTTGCTGGTGCTACTTTCTGTCTCTCGTTACCCTTTACAGATAAAAATTGAGGTTTCAGTTTATAGCACAGTTTAATTTCTCCGATACCTTTATTGAGTACTTCATATATAACGTCTTTGTTTATAATTGTACCATTTCCGAGAATAAAACCTTTATCAAGAAAATGGTTTCTCAAAAGCTTTATGCAATGCGGCATATCAGCGAAAACCCATATTTTGGTGCTGAACTTGGGACTGTAAAAGAAAGATTTATCTGTTGAAATTTGTAATTCTTTCCAAAGGGTCTGACTACCTCCCATGTCAGATACAATTGCTTTGACTCGAAGCCCAGACGATTCAAGTGCAAACAAAATGGAAGACAGAAGATTTTCCTTCATTTGACGATCAAAATCAAAATAAATGGGCTGTTTCCATTGCGAAATGAGTCCTCGAACCAATACAAATTGAGTCTTTTTAAAAGGACCTAATATCTGATCTAATTTTGAATCATAACAGAGTCTTGAATCTATATGAATTTCATCGAAACTTAATACGCATAATCTTTCTTCGTCAGTTGCATTTTGGCAAGTTTTTTTTCATCAATAACAGTACATCATTTAAAATGCCAGGAATGCAACTGAATCTTGAGCACCATCTTTTCAGTGTACTTGCACTTGGAAGCGGAATACCCATTTTTTTCTTTCCAGAAGTCGTATGACTTTACGGATAACGATCTGATTACTATGCTTTTTGAAATGTCGTCTGGAGACCATTTAATTCGCTTTTTTTTCATTAATGCATTTATTTGAGTTTCGGTAAATATGTTTTGAATATACGTTTTCATTTTTCTTAGTTTTTCATTTTCTTGATTCACTTTTTTAATGTCTTTCCTCAGTTTCTGAACTTTTTCTAATATTAGTTTTCTATTCCTTTTAAATCTTTTTCTTTGCTGGGAGATAGTTTTTAAATGCTGCTTTCTCTCAGTCTGTAAAACAGAAACCTTATTCTCAAGAGCTGATAGTTTTGTGATTAAATCATTCACATTTTTCTGGAGGTTGGAACAGTTACAACATTGCTGAGTAATATTATTTTCAGTGAGCTCCTCATAGCTATTATTGTTATCGTTTTGAAGTTCCAGACATGCCTTTTTAGGACTTAAATTCTGAATTCTTTCAAATGCACTTTGTAATTTTTTTTTTTGTTGCCTTTGCTGCCTTGGTGTATTCTGATAAATAACCAAGTCAGGAATACAAGCAGTTGGAATAGCAGTTGACTTCAGTATCTTTTTTGTCGGTAATCCTAGCAACCTATTTTTCATATCATCCTCATAATCAGATTCAGTGAAGTGATTGCTGCATATTCGAGCACTCTTTGTGTTAACAATATCCGCTCTTCGACACCTATGCAACCATTCTTTCTTTCGTTAACTGAATATTTTTGTACGGAAATCTATGAAATACCACGCTAGTTTCTTTCGTATTATGATACGTATTGCTACAGGTAGCAACGGCACACGATACCATTTTTTCAATGATTTCTCATTACAAGAACTTTCTAAATACAAAATCCCTTTAAAAGTATCATCAGTTATAACTTTCAAGTAAAAAAAAAAAAAAAAAAAAAAAAAAAAAAAAAAACCTCTTTCTCTGAAACTAACAGGGCTAAAGAAAGAGAATCCAAGAACTAAAGATTCAATCTTTCGCACTGATGCTCTGGTCAGTCGACGACGGGACGAACCCAGTGACGTCACATAACATCCGGTATGCTCCCCAAGAGGGGTTCGTGTCGGCATCGTTCTTCTCAAAGGGATGACCCAGCCCTTCTCTTTCTTTAGCCCTGATAGAAGCCAACGTCTGCAGTGGTGCAAGGCTCGAGCGATGTGGACGATGGAATAGCAGAGGGTCATGTTCTCAGATGAGTCACGCTTCTGTTTTTCCAATGATAGTCGCCGCGTACGGGTGTGGCGTCGATGTGGAGACAGATCCAATCCGGCAGCAACTGTGGAACGCCCCACCACGCAACAACGCGGCATCATGGTTTGGGGTGCAATTGCGTACGATTTCAGCTTACCTTTACTTATTTCAGCTTAAGTTCGTATTCAAGGTACTATGACGGCCCAACGATACGTGGATGATGTGCTGCGGCCGGTGACACTCCCCTACCTTCAGGGAAGGGCCCAATGCCCTTTATCAGCAGGATAGCGCCCGACCACACACTGTTCGCACAGCCAACGTGCTCTGCAAGGTGTACAGACGCTTCCGTGGCCATTGTTTACTCTTGATCTCTCACCAATCGAACCCATTAGGATGTGATTGGATGCCATTTGCAGACCTTGTCATTGCGGGGTTCAGCAGACGAATTGTGACAAATGGTTGACAGGGCAGGAGGGCCATTCCTCAGGACACCATCCGTAGTCTCACTGACTCTGTATCTAGACGTTTTGCTTCGTGCATCGCCGCCCAATGAAATCCAACAACGTATTGAACCGACGCTGTTCTCGCTCTGTATTATGCATATAATTTCGAAATAAAGATAATTTATTGTTCATTGCTGTCTCTCTCCGCTTTTCTGAGTTTCATTACTCTCTGGCTATTCCTTCTTAGTGTTGCATTTTCACTGTCGGGTAGTGTATTTTATTCTTTGTAAATTTATTATTATCGTTATGAAGATGCTAATAATGATGAAGACGGAAGACTATCGTCGTTAGTCTTTCCAATTTCTTTAAATGGTTTATTTATTTCCTTGCTCTGTCGATGTAGATCATTATTTTCCACTAAGTGTTTTAATTTTCATTCACACTTCTCATCCTCCTGTTTTCCAGCTTTTATTATCTTATCTGAAAACCCGACGCTAAAAATTGTTCATGCACATCCTTATTAATTTATACCTTTCACATAAGCTACTAATATTATTAGTTAACATTAAACGTTTCGTATTTGTGACATTCAGATTCGCTAAATGCATTGAAATATTTAATAATTTATTGCTTTCTTGTAAACATTTAAATTTGTTATAATGTAATGTTTCTTAGCAAAATCTCACTTTAGTTTCACGACTTAGTAATTAATTTGCAGAGATTTTTATCTGTTGATTGATAAATTAAATCAAACAATAAATTTAGCATAAAATAATTCAAATGTATGAAACGTTTGTTGGTTATATTCCTCAAATTAATTGCAAATTTCAGTCTAAAAAAGGTAGGTAGAATTTCATCAGATTATTTGCAGAACAGCAAATTTTGTAGCTTTTCAAAATAATAATTTTAACTCTAAAGTTTCTAACTTTTTAAAATTATTAGATGTTGTCGTGCAATCATTCACTCTCTATTCTAACTGCTTAATAAATAATAAGACTGAAATTATTCAATAGCGATTCAGCACAGTTGAACAGTACGGTATAGTATACTGAATTGTAAGAATTGCTCATAATTTTAATTCATTTATGTTATGGGATATTTCTCCCGCCTTCGTGGTGTAGAGGTCTGCACTCTCAGCGCGTAATTGAGAGGTGTGCGGTTCGATTTCCGGCGAAGGATTGCTAATTTTTTTTTTTATCTCTTCTGCTTCTATAAATCCTAATGTCTCTACAGTGGCAACCGAACTAAAAGGGTGCTGGATGAGGATTCTCGACACCCAGGATTTGGCGATTGGGTCCCCTAAAATCCCCAGTCGCCCTTTAAAAGGGGGAGTATATAATTCTCCCGCCTTCTTAGCATGCCTTCGTGGTGTAGTAATTCTGCACGCTGGGCCGGCATTCCAGAGGTCGGTGGTTCGATTCCCGGCGAAGGCGATTGCTAATTTTTCATCTCTCCGACTTTTCCAAAATACCTAATGTCTCTACAATGTAATTCGCTTTTCCTGGAAACAGCGAGAGCGGAAAAATCACAGGACTGATTAAACGAAGAAGGCTAACTTTTAGCAAAATAATAATAATAATAATAGTCTGAACTAGAATTTATCTTTGCTTCTAATAAATTGAGTCTAATAAAAACTTACTCTTTACTTCACCCTTTGTTACGAAAGGAGAGATTTTCCTTACACTTCTGGTATCCAAATTTTGTGTTCACAGAATTAAATGTATTTGTATAGTTCTTCATATGAATAATTTTTATTTATTTTCTCTTTCAGAGAAAGGGGAATTTTTGGCTCTTGATTTAGGTGGAACTAATTTCAGAGTAATTTTATTGAAACTAGATCCAGAATCAGAATTATATACTAATGTAAAGTACTACACGGTTCCTGAGGAGTTACGCCTAGGAGAAGGCGAGATGGTATGTATAATATCATATGCATATACACATATATATGTTATATTTGTTTCTAATGATAAGTCAGTATAAATATTAATAGAGTGATAAAAATAAGTGTTTGAGTGTCTGTTAATAATGAATAAGTGATTAGAAGCAACTTTGGAATGATGACTGCAAAATTTCGTGTCCGATTTTCATAACAGGTATAACGTAGGTGTTGCAAAGGATTTTGATACTGTAAAATGTTTGACAAATTGAAGCACTGTTGTAGAAATTTTATAAAGAGTAATGCAAAGTTGATGAGCAGAGTTGTTAGTGGATAATTTTGACATAACTTTTGAGAAGAATTTGCAATTTTGAGAGCGAAATCGGTGCCAGACTGTGTCTCAGCTGATGGCCCAATACAATGCAGGTCTGAGTGCAAGTGTTTCGGAATACACAGTTCAACGGAAATTATTGGATATGGGACTACGCAGCAGATGTTCCCTGAGTGTTTATCTCTTGATCAAGCGTCATCCTCAACTACGCCTACAGTGAGCCCAGGAATATCAAGACTGGGCCATAGTTAAGTCGAAGACAGTTGCCTGGTTGGCTGAATCACGATTTCTTATTCATCATATCGATGGTCGTGTGAGAGTACGCCGTTTCAGACGAACAATTACTCCCTCCTCTCCGTGCAGCAGGTCATACACAGGCTGGTGGTGGAGGTACTATGCTTTGGGGAACATTCTCATGTGCGGCTGTAGGATCCTTGTTTGGGGTAGAACAGACCATTATGAAAGCTACATACTCACTGAACATAACTGCGGATCCGTTGCACCCTTACATGGCGTCTGTCTTCTCAACTGGAAATGGAATCTTCCAGCAAAACAGCGCTGCATGTCACAAGGCTGGAACTGTGTTGAAGTGGTTCGAGGAGCATGAGGATGGATTCCGGCTGGAACTGTGTTGAAGTGGTTCGAGGAGCATGAGGATGGATTCCAATCACCTGGCCCCCTAACTCGCCGGATCTTAACCCGATAGAGCACATTTGGAATGTCATAGAGCGGCAGCTCAGAGCTCAAACATCACCATGTCGAATTATCTCGACTTTGCATAAATGCCACGAAGACATTTGGTATAACCTGTCTCCAGTCATCTACCAAGAACTTGTGGCATCCAGGCCAAGATGAGTTGCAGCTGTTTTGCAGGCCAAAGGTCGTGCAACGCATTGTTGAGTAGGGGGTCATAATATTTTGGCTTTTCAGTGTATATATAACTATGTTTGCAGGCCAAAGGTTTGCAGGCCAAAGGTCGTGCAACGCGTCGTTGAGTAGGGGGTCATAATATTTTGGCTTTTCAGTGTATATATAACAGTATTGATGGTGTAGAACGTAGAAGGTTGAATCCGATGGCGTAGAATGCTGAAATGCAGGTCCGCAATGACTAGGAAACTGGCAGCCGAGACAGATTACATCTTCATTTTATTTCAGTAAACATGTTCCGGCCACAAACAACTTGGCGCATTATTTGTGCCTATTATTACAATGAAGTTGTACAGTATCCTACCTTGAGAATAATGAAAATCTGGCCACGGTTTGCTGCCAAAAGTTAAAATTAGGCTCTGTGTTTTAATTAATTCATCAAATTTTAATCGACGCCTCATTCAGGCATTACCAGTGCAACAGCGTATGTTGCTGGCAATTCAGATTATCACTTATCTTCAAAATTGAATTACTTTAGCCAGGAAAATATTTCCAACCTCAAGTTCCCCTGAAGTATCCCAAAGCACCTGTAATGTGGCCAGGTTTACCATTTCATGATAAAATCCTTGTCCATATTTTGATTATTCAAGATATCCTACTCCAAGACCATACTATCCTAGATCTTAATTGCTTCGAAAGGAGGTTTGTAGATATGTTCATCCTCCACAATTTGGGTACTCAAATTCACAGTATCCTGCTTACGGTATCCTTATAAATTATTATCAACTTCACCCAAATTCAGAGTATCAGTATAAATTATTATCAACCTCCATCTTATAAAAATCAGTATCCTGCCTTAAATTATCATCAACCACCATATTCACAAACTCATATTTCCCCAAAGCATGACAATATTTCAAATTCAATGTTCAGGTAGGGAGCAATAACTTTCCTTCTATTATTAACACATGTAGCCAAGCTCACGTAATTTATGAAAGCATTTTAAATTGTTTTGATAATTTTGAAATTATTGAAAGTAAAATGTTTCGAAAGTTATTATCTCTATCTGGAGATCTTGCTGTCATTAAATTGGTTAAGTTGTCATATAAAGTTGGAAGAATAAATAGAAATGTGACATTTTATGTTGTTAATTCTCATTTAGGTTATTTATTGCTGTGTTCATCTTGCGCTCTCTTGTTTAAATTACAACTGAGCTTTAGTGTTTATGATGTGTTTTAAATTAAAAGAAATATAAGCAAAGGTATTGTAGAGACATTAGGTTATTTCGAGGCAAGAGATGTGAAAAGTGAGCAACCCGGGACTCGAACCACGGACCTCTCGAGTACGCGTCGAGCGTGCTGACCACTACACTACGAAGGCATGCTAAGAAAATAAATTATACGGGAGAAATACCTTATAGTATATGTTTAAGTAATCCTTTCAAGAATGATTTTTTGTATTTTCTCGAGAATATTAGACTTGGAAAAGACTCTTTCAACTCTACTGCAAGAAAGTGTTTTCCATCTTAGACTTGGCATCTGGTTACCGACATATCAAGTTAATTGACAAAGATACTGAAAAACTGGCATTTACAACTAATCTGTGTCTATATTATTTAATAGATTACCTTTTGGTTGGAAAAATTTCCCAGCTGTTTTTTTTTTTTTTTTTTTTTTTGGAACCCAGAGAGATGAAAAATGAGCACTCGCTTTCGCCGGGAATCGAACCACGGACCTCTGGAATACCGGCCCAACGTGCAGAATTACTACACCACAAAGGCATGCTGGGAAGGGGGGAGAAATACCTTATAATGTATACCAAATTCAATTTTATGTGAATTATTTTGATGACATTATAGCATTTTCTCAGAATTTTGAAGAACACTTACAGCATCTTAAAATAATATCTGATATATGTGAAAAAGAAAACATAAAATTAAAAAAGTCAAAATGCCACTTTGCTAAAGAGAAAATAAATTTTCTAGGATATAAAATTCAAGCTGGAAAATATCAACCCAGTAAAACAATGAAATTATTGAAAAGTTATAACCTTCTAAAAATGTTAAAGAATTACAAAGATTTCTTAGCAGTATTAATGTGTATCATAAATTTATTCCAAATTATGCAAGAATTAGAGTCCCACTAACAAATATGCTCAAAAAAGATACTCCATATAAATGGACACCTGAAACAGCCTTTAAAAATTTAAAAGACGCTTAAGTTCATTTAATCCAAAACATCTTTGCCATGTATTTGTTGATTCATCTAAAGAAGCTGTTGGTGTAATTCTAAAACAAGAGCACCCAGATGGTAATTTACACTTACACTTTAGGGATTATTTTAATTTTCTAATAGTTATTTTTAATTTTGAAACCCTTTCCTTTAAATTCTTGTTTTCCATTTACAACTCTTTGCCAGAATGAGATTTCAGTATCGCGTTTTTATGTAAATGAAGTAGAAGCAGTATTTATTGGAAAGGTCCAGTCATTTCTGTAGAAGAACTAATAAGTAATTTAATAATTAATTGTACATTCGTTTGAATTAGAGCGTAAAACGAATTCTATTTGTCACATCATTGACTAATTTTGTATATACATGGTATTTGTTTTATCCCAACACTTTTATTATTACAAAATTAATTATTAATTTAATAATTACAAACATATTATCATTTATAATTATTAAAAATATTGTTTATAATCGCTATGAAAAGTTCATAATTTCTCCTCAGATATTTTCAATCGGATTAAGATCTAGTCTTCTTGATATCTAGTATTTGACATCAACTGCTTCTCTTTGAAACCACTGTTTTGTCAAGTTAAATGCATGTCAAAAGGCTGCTTTGTTGATAAATCGAGTCATTGACGCCAAAAAGCATTTTAAATGGAGACAAATTCTCATAGAGAAGTAACTGTTAATGTTTGATAAGCTACTTGATTGTTACGACAATGTCAAATTTTAAACCGTGTCGAAAACATTCCCCTGTCATCTCTGCAGTTCCCGCTTATCTGGGAAAAAATTGTTTTATGTTTTTGTCACAAATCATGCCAGCAACCTGCATTAGTGTCAGGGTTATCTCAGTCGTATTTTTTCCCATTTGAGCAAAAAGGAACGTTTTTCATTTACATGATCGTTTCATTAAAAATCTTTGCTCATTTTAGTATTTCCGGTGTATATTTCTTGGTTTCAAATACACTGCCCTCTAAAAGTTGAGGAAGAGCGTGTTTTTTTTTTTTTTTGTTTGTTTTTTTGTTTTTTTTGTTTTGTTTTTTGACCCTCGTCTAATTTGAGAATGAAGCAACATAGAAACGAGAAGTTTAGAGGACATGTTCACTAAACAGTTCTTTAATGAATTTTACATAGAATGTTTATAAGGTATTTTCTCCCTCTTTTCTGCGTGCTTTCGTGGTGTAACGGTAGCACAGTTGGCGCGTATTCGAGAGTTCCAAGTTCGAGTCCCGGGGAAGGCATTGCACATTTTTCATGTACTCTTGCTTCAAATAACTTAATGACTCTGCAGTGGCACTCGAACTCAAAGGTGGTAGATGATGATTATTTACACCAGGATTTGGCAATTGGGTCCCCTAAACCCCAGTCGCTCTTTAAAAGAGGGAATACGTAAGGTACTTTTTCTCTCCAAATGCCCATTGCTGACTGGTCCAGGAGACGTGTTCTCTTACCCAACGTAAACGGCCACTTCTGTTTTCTCGGGTCAAGGGGACACAATCACTGGTCGTCTTGCATATATACCTGTGTTGTGCAGGCGTCTGCGCCCTGTAGTAGCTGAGATTCTTGTTCCTGTTGCCACTAAATGATCTGCCATGAGCTGAGGCACAAT